ATCAAAATTTTAGCACTCTCAGTCAAAAACTTGAACATCAAATTTCATTAATGGAGAGTGCCATACAAGCTGCTCACTATCTTGGCTTTGAGTTTGATATGATTTCTAAACTTCAAGGTGCCTGCTCTACTTTCCAGTGGTGTGTCAAGGCTCTTTCTTTCTCTTCTACTGTTCCTTCCATTGAGGTAATGGGTTGTATTTCTTAACCATTAGATATTTAGATAGCCATATGGACTATCATATTTGATTTCTCCTTTTCTCCATACTTCGCTCCTAACTCCTCAGACCGTGCTGGTTTATACTGTGCTTATGTTTATTATCTTGTAGGAAATTGAAAAGAGTTTGGAAATTGCTGGCCGTTTCCCAACTATATATGCATCCTGTAGGTTGTGTACTGTGCTGTTTGATGGGGTAACTTGGCTTAAGAAAGCCTTGGAAGTTTCTGTTTCATCTAATCTTAGAAGATACAACTTAGAGGATGCTGAGGAAGTACTTAGGCAGTCTCAGGTAGACCATCTTTCCTAGTCTATTTCCCTGCAGAAGTTAGGACATTGTACCAAGGTGTTAACCTCCTTCCAGTACTTGACCATCTACAGTTACATCTGTTCTCCTTGCAAGTGCACTTGTCTCCTTTGCATGTTGTTTTCCTGATTGAAATTATGCTATTCTTCTGATTTGAATTGCAGAATGTTCATGTGTCATCTCCTGTGATAGTCTCTGAACTTAATAAGGCTATTGGGAAGCATAAGTAAGTTTCCTGTCCTGGATAATCTTTTTCAATCTATTTTTCTGAAACCTTTTGTCAGAGTAGAGTATCTAAACTGATGCTGAAGCTTTGGAAGACTATCGTGTTTCATGAAAGCAATGATTAAATTGTTAAATTGCAGATTATAAGCACACAAGACCTGTTAATATGAATTTTTAATTTAAATGATTTAATATACAGAGTAATAGGACAATGGAATTATTAGGTTTCTAGCTCAACTTTTTGACAGTCTATGCAGGTATTTTTGTTTTGCATAAAAATGGTAGGAATAGTGAACACATGCTATCTAGTCAGTAGTTTAAGGTTGGAGCTAGTGTGCAAACTCACTCTATGCAGAGTCTATGTTGGATGTAAGCAACCTTTGCCCTGTTTCTAGAGAGGTTGTTATTTAGGGCTTGAACCCGTGATTTAATTTGCTAATGGGTGATCCCTTGGTCATTATCCCACATCGTTTAGGTATAAAGAAGGAAAGTACTCCTCCTTCCTGTTTCTAGGGTGCTGTTCCAAGGCATGAAAGTATAAATGTAAATCCACTTTGTCATGTAATTCCAATCAATGTTTACCGGGATGCTTTAGGATGAATCTTCCTTTAGCCAATAAATAGCTTCTATTTACTTTCTGAATATGTTGGACATTGGAACTACTAAGTCCTGAGTTTTTATCCTTTAATAGGTCCCTGTTGCATTATTCATCTCATGAATAGTTGCCATATTTTAATTTCCATGCTAGTTTCTCTTGTTTAGTTCCGCTGTAATAGGAATTTTAATTGTTTGTACTTTTGTAGATTGTGGTTGGAGCGAGTGCAATTATTTTTCAGCCTTGACTTGAGGGAACGGTCATTGGACATGTTACTGCAGCTTAAGGTACTATACTTTGGTTGAAAATTTGTTTCATATATTGCATTCTGATGTCTTAAAACCCACAATTTTTATTTATTGAAGGATGTGAATCTATTCATTCTCATTTTGGTTTAGTCAATTTTTTTTCCTATTGTAGTTGTACTATTTGTAGCTTTTGTAGTTCATTCTGTGCTTTTCTCTTCTATGCTCATTTTTTGTGGTCGTGATGTTACTTAATGGCTAGTGATTGCAAAACATTCAGGAACTTGGAAGCAATGATGCATTTAATTGTTCTGAAATGGACATGGTTTTATCTGAGGTTCATAAAATAGAGGAGTGGAAGCATCGCTGCATGGATATGTTTTGGACTTCTGGAGATGCAAATATACTGTGTAGTGCTCTTTTAGAGGTTTAAAATTGTTTGCCATTCTCTATATTTCTTAGTTTCATATCCTCTGTTTTAGATGTCTTATTGGAATCTTCAATTGTGCAGATTAGAGATACTCTTGGAAGGTCATTTTGCATTTTTGACAGGTCTAGCTGTTTCAAAATCCAAAATCTGTGTATATTCTGCTCAACTGCTACTGACAACCAGAAGCTTTTGACTTGTTCTTCTTGCAAGGACTGGTAAATTTTCTAGGCTGTAATAATTACCTGATTACCAATTTATCATGATTCACTGTTGAGAGTGAGCTTTGTTGAATATTATTATTGGTTGAAAGACCATGTGGTGATCTATATGCCAAATTTGCTTCTATTTGCCATATATCTGAAAGATGATATTTTTGTATAGCTTTCACCTGGGCTGCATTGGACAACCATCCTTGGAAACAAGTGTTCCATTTACTTGCCCCTATTGCCAATTGATGAGAAGTGGGAAAATATCTAAAAGTGGTTATCTGCTGGTATGCATTAGTTATTTGGTTCTCTAAATGATTTTGCTGGGATTATTAGTCTTCTGGTCTGATGTGCTTTATCATATAGAAAATAGGGCGGAAGCGTTTTGAATTGAAGGAGCTCAACAAGCTTTTGTCAGATGCTGAGGATCTCTGTTTATGGTAATAATGAATAACCCCCCCATATTTCACTGAAAATGTGTGGACTGTTATATTGCTATAAATTTCTTTTTCAACATGTAATCTTGATTTGTTTGGGTAAGCCTTTCTTGACATCTGTCAGTTCTTTCCCATTCTAGCAAAATGTATAGCTAATTTAATTCTACTTCATGTTCATAAATCACTCTCTCCTTTTTCTTCTCCACTCAAGATGGTAGTTGCTCAGTGCAAAACAAAGCTCATTTGCACGTCTTATAATATGTTCTAAGTCCTAAGTTCATAGTTTATTGTCAGTTTATATGTGCCTTCTGTTTCATGTTAAACAATCTAATTTATAATGAAATGGTGTCAATGCCGAGCAGCTGAAGTTTTACTGTATCATTAGGTGTATTGAAATTTATATAGGGTTTTCCCTTGCATGCGAATGTGATGTTTCCATTTTCTATCCTAGTTTTTTACTAACATCATTCCATCTGATACCTGCAAGCAGCTGTTTTAAAAAAAAAAAAAAAAATTGTTTTGGGCTAGTAGCTTAAAACACCCTACATATAGTTTCAATAATAATAGGCCTATATTTTTTTGGCATGTGTGTCATAGTTCTTAAAACTTGTGTGTTTCATCAAGGATGTAAAATGAACTTGTGTTGGGTTTTCTGTGACAGGATTGAGGAAAGATCATTACTTAGCCAAATTGTGGACAAAGGTGTTGAGCTTAGTGCCTGCTTAGGAGAAATCTTGGATTTTGCATTAGCTTGTGTTGACAAGGATCTGAGTGTTGTGTCTACAAAAATGTGTGTTGCACTGAAGGTGGATATCTATGTATACTATACTGGTTATTCTTCAGAGTCCAGATATGTTTTCAGTGAGAGTATTTCAAGATTTTGTATTAACATTCTCCACTGTAATCCATACAGGCAGTAGATGTGACTGGTTTTTATGATTGTGAATCAAACTGCAAATTGGAGTTGGCATTGTCAAGAAATTCATGGAGAGTTGGAGCTCAAAAACTGATGGACGGTCCACAGAAGCCTACAATTCAACAGCTTCGGCAGCATTTAAAAGAGGTTTGCACTGACAATGAAAACACAAAACCACAGTGACATTGTTTTCCTAGAAATATATATATATATATATATATGTTAATTTTCAACATCCATCTAATAGTCAAATTATACTTGTTCAGGGACTAGCTATAAGCATTTCTTCTAAAGATTACTTTAGACAGAGACTGAATGAAGTAAGGAATATAGGATTGCAATGGGCCGACACTGCAAAGAAGGTTAGCTAGTAGTGTGTGTTCATACTACTGTGTAACGAACGATTAGTGATCTTTCCACAACACTGCTAACTACGACTGTCTTCTCTTTGGTAGGTTGCTGCAGATGGTGGTGCACTTGAACTGGATAAAGTCTTTGATCTCATTTCCGAGGGTGAAAATTTGCCTGTGAATTGTGAGAAGGAACTGAAAGTAAGAAATAGTTGCTACCCTACCCCATGTAGATATAAATATCATGAAATAATATTTGCCTCATTTTGTGGGTAATGTTATGTAGTTATTGAGGGATCGGAGTATGCTTTATTGCATCTGTCGGAGACCAAATGATGAGAGACCAATGATCGCGTGTGATAAATGTGATGAGTGGTACCATTTTGATTGCATTCACTTGTCTTCCTCTTCCCTCCCAAAAACCTACATCTGCCCAGCTTGTATTGGTGAATGGGAAGATACCGACAATGCATCAATACCAACCAGTGAAGAGGGGTAAGCCCCATCCATAATTTATCACCATTTTTAAACACTTCACTTCAGTTCAGTTCTTGACAAATACTAACCTTTGTATTTCATGTTCTACTGTCTAGCAAAATAGAATGAATGGTTTTTGAATCCTTTGATTTGATGTGATGTGAAAACAGGTGTGGCATTGGAAAACTGAAGGAGCCCCAAACACCTTCTCCTCGACACACAGAGGCGAGAAGGAAGAAAAGAAAACTGAAAGCTGCCATTGCCATTGCCATTGGCGAGGAAACAGCTGCAGCCCCAAGGCAGTGTAGTAATGTTGTGGGGTTGTTTTGGGGAATCCGCAAGCCATGTAAAAGAGCAGCTCGGAAACGAACAGATCTGGAGAGCTTGGCTCCCCGGTTTTCTTCTGTACAGAATAATAATAATAATAATTCATAATGTCGAATACGCACAACAATCTTTTTCTTCATTCAATTGATTCCCATTTTTGCAGTCAGTCAGTTTTAGTTGCAGCAAATTTTGAATGTTGTATTCATCATCTAAATACAATACAATTATTAGACCATTTTTACAGGTAAACAGTCTTGACTCATTTTTTTATACTTTGGCATCATCAAGTCAAGTAGTAGTAGAAGAGGCATACATACTTCATAACTTCATATGTAAAATTGTGCACCGGTACATTAAAACATCACTTGCCTGTCACAATACACAAAGAAACCAAGAAGATTTTGCAAATCCAATCCAGAAGAACATTTGATTTGTGATTTTGATGCACTGCTAGTGTTGTATAGATTAGAGCATTTATACCACCAATCTGATGGAGAATGAATACTAAGATTTCCATGAAAGTGAGTGAGTAGCACATAGATCACACTATTCCTTTTTTCCTAGTAGTTTCTGTACATCTCTCTGCAATAATATCATCATGTTTGTTCAGTCAGTAATAACCAGGGAGGGTGTATGGTATGTATACAAATTAAAGAAGAAAAAGGTTTCAACTTTACTTTACCTCAATGGTAAGGGGTGATGTTGTGGGATAATAGCGATCGACAGGCTGCCCTCTCTGATCAACCAGAAACTTTGCAAAGTTCCACTGAATGTCATCTCCAAATATTCCCCACTTCCCTAATTTCATATACTTATAAAGGGGAGAAGCATTTTCACCATTCACTTCAATCTGCGCTAAAAAATCAGGCTTGTTATTTTGTTTGCATCACCAACACCGCCCGCAATCAAGCTTGTTTGTTATTTTGTTTTACCTTGCCAAAGACGGGGAACTCTGACTTGAAACGAGTGCAAACAAAATCTAATATCTGATCATTGCTTCCTGGTTCCTCCTCTCCAAACTGATTGCAGGGAAATGCTAGTATTTCCAGGCCTGCAATCAACTTGCACTTACTGAGTTCATCACCCTCGGCCTCAAAGCCACAGGAAAGAAATGAAATGCAAACTCAAAGATCACCGGTGATCTTGATACTAAACGTCATTAAATGAAAACAAACATGAAATGCAAACCTTGGTGTCTGTACTTCTCGTACAATTGATTGAGCTCAGTGTAGTTTGAGTTCGTCATCCCACTGAAAAATATCAGGGAAGCAAGTGAAGAAATGGGATTTTGGGGTACATATGAAAAAAGGAAGAGAGCCATATCAGATCAGAACAGAACAAACAAATTCTTTGGTGCCTTGTATGTTGAATAGACATACATATATACATACACACATACCACTTGGAAGCAACATTGACAATTAGGAGGACTTTTCCCTTATAGATGTTGAGATCTACATCGTTGCCTTTCGCATCCTGCAAAATAACACTACCCATCCATCACCTGCTGCATTATTTCCCTCCCTAAGCTAAGTAGTCAAAGACATGATGAAACTAAAAACACTTATTCTGTAGCTGCAGAACATCCATCAGACTGTCAAAACAAACAAGGGTAAATATATGCAACCAAAATCTATAATTCTTCATTTTGTTGCTGTCTTAAGTTAAAAGAAAGACATTTCTTGATTAATGATTATATGATTACACTTCCCCAGTTCAATTGTTTGTTGTAGCAAGCAATAAAAATGGTCCAGTTTCTAATGATATCGTCAGTAAGAATTTTTCCCTGTAAAAACACATTCTTGAACCAATCAAATTATATTCAAGGCGGACAAAGAACACAACATAATTATGAACAGTAATAGGAAAGTTTGATTTCAGTACTAGGCTAGGAAAACCTAAATAGAGACAAACATTGGCAGCTGCTAACCTTAACGATGAAGTCGTAGACAGATTCAGAAAGTTTGGTCAAATCGCTTGCCATCTCAATTTTCAATTGCGTTGGAGCTCAGAAATGTCGTGAACACCCAACTGTTGTCTGTGTTATAAAAACGACTTGGATTTTGGAGGCACCAAACATGCCTTTCTAACAAAATATTACATTATTACCTCCTTTGCCCTTGGGCCTGGACACCCAACTCGACAAGATGGTAGATGAGTAAATTAAGCTGTTTTGTATTTATAAATTCTAGTTTTTTAATTTTTTTTTTTGGAATACTAACTCTATTGTAATGTACTAACATAATATCTGTTCATAATTATTTTTTTCAACTAAAAAAAACACAAAGAGCCAATATCGCTTCCATTGGAGTTCGACCCCACAACGCCATTAGACCACAAAGTCCTTGGCAACGAAACTCTAGTTAGCTCAAAAATAGGTTGGCATGATTTTTTTTTTCTTTTTATCAAGTCCTGAGGAGACACCTATAAATATGCATCATACTTAATTACTCATACTCATTTTCATTTACACCAGCCCGGCCTAATTGAGAGACAACGAGAGGGGGTTCGAACTCCCAACCTCTCAAGGAATGAGAATGCACTCCCAACCTCTCTTACAGCACGTTTGGTTCACGTAATGAATTTGGAGGGAATATGAATGTTATTCAATAGGGAATGAAATAGGTAAGGAATAGAATAGGAATTGTATTCTATTGTTTGGTTGGCTGAAGGAATAGACTTTAGTAATTGTATTCCAGTGTTTGGTTGGTTAAAGGAATAGAAATGAAATATGTTTTAAAGACATAAATACCCTTATACAAAATAATAATAATAATAATAATGATGAATATGGTTATGATATACTGAATGTGGTTATGATATACTGAATGTTATATATATATATATATATATATATATATATATATATATATATATATATATATATATATATATATATATATATATATATATATATGGTAGGGTTCTAGTGAGAATATGTGCTTAGGTGAGAACATGAGAACACATCATGTGCATCCATCTAATATTTTTTAATGGTATATATTAGATTAAGTGTGTGCGAACGCGCATTAAATGTGTGCAAACACATTTAGTCGCGTTTGCACACATTTAGTGCGCGTTTGCACACACTTAATCTAATCTAGACCATTAAAATATTAGATGGATGCACACGATTTATTCTCACGTTCTCACCTAAGCAGATGTTCTCATATGATCTTAAATATATATATATATATATATATATATTTATTTATTTATATTTATATTTATATACATGTATATGCATGTATGTGTGAGAGAGAGAATAACAATAATAATAATAATAATAATAATAATAATAATTATTATTATTATTATTATTATTATTATTATTATTATTATTATTATACCAATACATATTTATATTTATATTTATTTTCCCACTTATCCCACATCGGTTGGAGAAGTGAGGAATGAAGTCTTAAGACTCCTTTCAAGGCTCCATAATTTCAATTGCAATGCTTATCCGCTAAGCAAGCTTGCAATGCCTATCCGCTAGGCATGCAGATGGGTAGGCTACTTAATTTAGGAGCCAAGACTCAATAATTAAGAAGTCTTATACAGGTAATTATATATATATATATATATATATATATATATATATATATATATATATATATATATATACACAAAAAAAATAATTTATTTAAATATATATTTATTGATAGGTTGATAGATAAAAATTATAATTAATTAAATATATACATTTATATAATACATTATAATTATTAAATAAATTTAAATATTATATAATGTGCAAAGGTTATTTTTGGTGTTTGTGATATAAAACTATTTCCAAGGGTATGAGAATAGCTAATACCAAGGCCTCCCTAGGAATGACTATTCACCTTGCGAAGGTAATAGCTCATTCCTAAGAATATTATTCCCATGACAAAATGATCCAACCAAACGATGGAATAGGTCTATTCCAAAGAATGTTATTACATTCCTGACCTATTCCATGAACCAAACATGCCATTAAAGAATGAGAATGCACGGTCACTCACGCCAACCAAGCTGGTTAGGTTGGCATGATATATAATTCATTAGAGTGCATCAAATATGAGGCCTTTGAATTTACAACAAAAGCTTGAGTAATTTCAAAAGAGCATTGTAAATCTATTTTTAAATAGACAATAAGCACAAAAAAGAGTTTCTTGTTTTCCCAGATAGCTTCATACAACATTGCTTTGTTACATCAACACACAGAACGACATTACTAGATTTCAGACAGCCTATGTTTGCTTATTGATAACAAAAGTACACAGCTTCAAATCTGCATTAATTCACAAATGCAGTTTATTCATGATGTTAATAATAGTAGCATAGGATCGCGGCAGGAACGCTTAAGATATCCCCAGCAGTTTCTTTATGTCCTTCTGCAGCAACACAGAGAAGCGAGATCCGTTTTAGCAAATTTTAGACGAAATAATTGATGGGTATTAGTGAACGAACATGGCTTTACCTCTATGCTTAACGGAGATGTGGTGGGAGCATAGCGATCGACAACCTTTCCATCTTTGTCAACGAGGAACTTGGAGAAATTCCACTTGATACTATCGCCAAAGAGTCCACCTTTGCTAGCCTTCAAGAACTTGTATATTGGAGCAGCATTGGATCCATTTACGTCAACCTAAATCCACCATGCATAAGATATAATGGTTTTGAATTTACAGAAATGCCTCGTGAAACTAAAAAAAGAAAGACAAACTTATTACCTTTTCAAAAATGGGAAATTCAGCCTTGAAGCGAGTACAAGCCCTCTGCATGATATCTTCATTGGTGCCAGGCTCTTGTGAGCCAAACTGGTTGCATGGAAATGCAAGAATCTCCAAACCTGTTCAAGAATCGTGACATTGCATAAAGAAAAGTTCCCATATAAGACCATTAGTTTTCCTAGATCTTTGGCCATGGAAACCTCAAAAAGAATTTAAGTCAAACCTTTATCCTTGTACTTCTGATATAACTGGTTCAACTCGGTGTAATTTGAGTTTGTCAGCCCACTGCATCAGAGGCAATATATATATATTAATGCAAATGCGTTTTAACTACAAGCTCTCACATACATTCCACCCTATGAAGGAGGAACAAAATTCTTAATTTACTCTCAGCATACCATTCTGATGCAACATTGACAATCAGTGTGACCTTGCCCTTGTAATCACTAAGGTTAACATCATTTCCTTTAGGATCCTGTAACATAAAAAAATGCAGCCACTCGCATTATGGAAGGATCGGAGGCCATTCAGGGACAACACTTTAATTACTCCAAGCGTCAAACCTTTAAAGCACAAGTGACAGATGCACTTTCCTCATTTCATCCACAAAACATAAAACAGACAAAGAACTACACAGTTATCACCAAAAGTCTAAAACAAACAAAAATATTACAACTATCCCGAAGGCAAAAAAAAAAAAGAGAAAAAGAAAGCAAGGTACTTTTTTGAACTTTCTGTCACAATTGAACCATGTCAACCAACCACTTGAACTGTACAGAGGTAAAGAACATTAAAAAAAATTCAAATGGAGATGAAATGCTGCATTTCAATGCTCTCCTCAAAGCTTAATAGCAACAATTTGCTTCCTTGTAAGCAAAAGTAGAAGCCTACTAATCATAAATCTCTATAAATCAAACAAATTCCTTTTAATTAAAATCTAAGAATAAAATTTCACAAGTCTCAACTCCCCCTCAGTTTCCCTTTTCTTGCTACTAGCTGGAAAGCTAGACCTGTGGCGAATATTGACAAGAATTGGTTAAAATTGTTATAATAGGCTTTTTAACACGAAAGATTAACTATTAAGCCTATATATACACTCACACAGATGAGCATATTATCTATGATATATTAAAGTTCTCAACTTTAGCCAGATTCGACCTTTATAATCAAAGAACGGTAAGAAATTTGAAAAAAGAAAAATCTTTTACAAGTCCAATTCCATTAAAGAGCCAAAACATAATACCCCAAGTCCATACGAACCAATAGAAGCACAGCACTCGAGATTCACAGATGCGGTAAAGCAAATACTCAAACAGAAAGGAAAAAAAGAGCTTAAAAAGGGGGCAAACCTTAACAGTGAAGTCGTAGACTGACTGAGGGTTGCTGGATTCTGCGGCCATGGTTTGATCGGATCTCAAAGATACAGGAGGGGCGAGCTTTGTTGGGGCAGATTAGATTCAAAGAAATTGAGGAAGATGAAGTGGGTTCGATGGGTCGACAAACAAATTAAAGCACGAATCTTTATAAGGACGACGGAGAGACAACGTGTTTGTTATATAAACGCGAACTGGGTTTTGACTTTTTTTGCGCCGAAATTTACACGGATGAGAACGGATTCATTAGTTCTGTTACATTCTGGTTCGTTCTTCTAGAGACAATTCACCGTGAATGCTATTGAATTTGGTCATCAATGACGTATATATCACATTCAAAATCAGTAATTTTAGTATGTATAAATGTGAACAAAAATTAACTTTAATGACCAAAGTATTTACCTTAGGAGTAGAATGGATTGAATTTTAATCCCACTATATAAAATTTAACGCATTCAACATTATTTTCTAATTCAAAATATTATATAAACCTTTTCACATATAATAACTTATTTTATATTTAAAAATAGTTCAATTAATTTTGTCGATCAGTTAATTTTAAGACACAACTTAAAACATTCATTTTGCATTGTCATATTGTTTAACTTATAAACATCTCAACTAAAATGAGATCAGATAGAGTAACATAATATATGAATGTGCACTTCTCCTTAATTATCAAGATCAATTGAAAACCGGCCATCATCTATAAATTGAATGTGTTGAATATATCTTGTCCACAAAATAAAATTTGTTTAAAAAAAAATATAATATATAGTCCTACATTTAATATATATATTTTGCTAAAATTAATACAAAAAGGGTAGCATGTAGCTATCCATCCAATCTATTCACTCTCTCAAATAGGTTGTTCATTGTTATGGAAAATGCATCCTTAAATTTGTGGAGCTTAGAATTAGGATCTCTATACACCAATCCAGGTAATAGTTCATAAACTATATATCTCCTCATGTTTTCCCTTTCCTTGACACCAATTTCTGCTAATCTTTCCACCACATTCACCTTCATGTCTCTAACATCTGCTTGATCGATGAGCACTGAGTATTTTTTGTGGTCTTGGGGCAGATGCCATGGATACTGATAGTATGCTGTAAAGGGATCAAACAGGACAGGGATACAACCTGCGACGAGAGAGTCGAAGACTGATTTTCGGGTGGGGCTGTCGCCCGGAGGTTGCAGGCAGAATTCAGATTCCATGAAGAGGTTAATGATGGATTCCGGGTGATCACATCCGCCGGAGCCCCGCGCGCAATCCAAGAACCTGCACTTTTCATGGTTTATGGTGCATTGTTTGATTAGGATTGATCTTATGTTTCCCGGGGAACCTGGCCTGGCGGCTCCGGCAAAGCTCACCAGGCTTCTCCGGTTAGAGGTGATGGTTTTGTGCTGCCATGAAATGATATCCTCGTCGGATTGTGGATGGAAGTAGGTGGGGTGTGGGACTCCGATGTCGTTTAAATGCCAGGGTTGCCGTTCGATCAAGAGCTTCATCGGATTCTGCATTTCATCAAGCTCCAAAAATCTGCTTCCCCAATTATATCCATCTTTTCGTCTGAAATCCCAGGAAATTTTTCCCAGAACGAACACGTGATCTTTCCCTGATTTCTTGAACCAGGCGGGCTGCGATTCCAGCCATCTCACCAGCTCCAACCCCAGAGAGTCTTTGAGAGCGTGAGAGACATTATTCTTGAAATGCCAGCGCAGGATGTCGAGGCCGCCATAGAAGGGCACGTAAAACAGCTTTGCTTCGTTCTGATTGTAGACTCTGCAAGGATGGTTGAGGAGTAGAGAATGGAAAATGAACTCCAGTGAATACTGATGAGTCTGGTACCACCCTCTGCCAAGCTTCTCTATGGGCTCTCCCATGGCTCCGTTGTTGAAATACTTACAGAGATTTTCCCAGGGCATCATGTCACCGCACTGGGATACCAAATCTTTGTTGAACTTTGCAGGCAATTCATACACATAAACTCCCCCGCGATCACTGCAGGTTGAGGTTGATTCACTGGACCACGATCGCTGCTCTGCTATCAGCTCCTCAATAATCCTATAAGCACCCTCCTCCAACTTCTCATTATTCCCACTTCTGAAAGTGAGAACTTGATTCCCAGCCACTGCAGGATTATTATTTTTCTCATCATTATCTGTTCCATTATTGACAGGTGCAGGGAGTTGAAGGGCGATATTGGGTTGAGTGCCGGCTGAGATGCAGTAGACGTTGTGGAGCTTTCGGGCGGAAACGCAGACGTGAAGTAAGTTGCCAGAAATAATGGTGGTAGATGAAGACCATAGGAAGATGAGAATGAGGATGAGAATTGCGGCGGAAGGGAGACGACGGAGCAGGAGGAGGAAAACACTACTACTAGGGCTGATGAATTCTTGTTGTTGGGGTTTTGGTTTCTTGGAAATTAGCAGCCTGGATTTCTTCTTAACAGCAGCGGCAGCGACTGCCATGGCTAATTAACTAGTTTGTGGTTATGCATCCTAATTCAATTCAGTCGTGCAATTTATAAGCCGGTATGTGCAGTGCAGGGATCGAATATGATATGCCCCTAAACATGGTAGCACGTAGTCTAGTAACATGCAACTAACTTTCATCTCATCTGAATCATCGAGTCCACGTTTCTCATCTATCTGTCCTTCCAGTTCCATTGCACGACAATTATTTTAATTACGTCAAACTTTTCATTTTTCAAGGTACAAACTACACACAACCTGAGGTACGGTCAACCTTTCACCAACCAAATTGTGAATTAATTGTGCATGAATATATGCACCCAACATCCCAATGACATTGATCTGGTGGCACAAAGCCACAAAGTACCAAGTAGCTTGTGATCTATTAATATCTGATTGCTCCTGAGGTGGGAGGTCTAAGGTTCGAGCTTTGATGTAGGCATAAATTGTATAGAATGAACAATTCATTATTTCAATCACCGAGATACAATACCCGAATTAACATATGTTATACACTCATTTGCTACTCTACCTTCTACCTACACTCAATAGGGAAAATGTTTTACAAGAAAAAAAAATTTAAATTTTTTCTCCTCTCCAACTCTTAGAAACTTTTAGAAGAATAAATCTTTTGAAATTGCTAAGTCTCTTTTCTAGATAGAACTTATAAATCTTTTGAAATTGTTAAGTCTCTTTTCTAGATGAAACTTTGAAGAATTTCTTTGTATTGGTCTTTCTCTCTTAATTTTCGAATATCAGCTCTTGTTGTATGTTTCTTATTATTATTATTATTTTTTTTTTCTTCTTCAAGTCTTCATCTTTATTTATAGTTGAAGACTTGAAGTTTGAAATTGTCCGTTGGGGTTAAACAATTTTAAATTCAAATTTGAACTTAATATGATGATAGTGATTTGATGTGTTAAAATTTGACTTTCTTGATTATATGTTCACAATTTACCTTTTAAAAATTCACAATTTGTGATAACCATGTATTGTATTCACAAGTTCTCAAAACTTAAAAACACAATTTATATTCTAAATATTCACAATTTCAATACTAAAAGCACACAATTTAGCGGATTTTTGGTAGCGGATTTTTTTTTTTTTTCACATACATCAATAATTCAAATATTCATAAAATTAATTGAATATTTTACAAGTGTGATCGTACAATCACTGGATTGTTACTGGTAGCATCTCCGTCCTATCCAGTTTTTTTGGCGGCCTGTCATTCTTCAAGGAAAGAGAGCTACAGACAACACTCACCGACGAGGCAGCCATGGCTGCTCCGGCGATCCACGGAGGTAAGCAGAAGCCGGTAGACGGAAAAAGAACCCCTGCGGCTATTGGAATTCCCAGGAGATTGTAACCCAAAGACCACAAGTAGTTCAAACGGATACGAGAAAAGGGAGTTAATAACCAAAATGGTCCCTCGACTATGCCGTAATTACCAATTTGGTCCTCGACTATCATTCTTACACGATTTAGTCCTTAACTATGTAAAATTTATCCAATTTGATCCTTAGTTAAATTTTTTGTTTATTGAACGTTAAAATTGAGGGCAAAATTGTCATTCTTGGTGCTTTCTTCCTCCTCCCTATTAAACAACGCCAACTATGCAACCAGAACGTTAAAATTGAGGGCAATGGTTTTCCAGAACTTCGGAGTTGAGGTCAACGTTGAGTTGAATATTGGGAAGGACGTGAGGGAGGTCCGTAACGGTAACGCTAGCCCCTAGTGTCGCCGCCGCGGCTATTCCCACCACGCCAATGCCGGAACCGAGCTCCAGTATACGGAGGCGCTTTCCAGCGCCTCGAACCGCGAGCAAGGCAGAAAGGCTAGGATGAGGGTGAAATCGGCCATCGAGGAGATTAACGAGAGTGGCGGCCGCGAGCCAGAGCTGGAAGGTAAGGCCCTGAGAAGGGAGTTGCCTGATGGATATGGAGGAGTGGATTGATTGCAGATTGTAGCGTTGATGTTGAAGAGGAACCGATTCAATGTTTCCTTCTTCTCTTGGGAGGAGCATTGTGAAGGAGTTGACCTCGTCGGAATCTTCTCCGTCATGGGGGTGGTTACTCTGGTCAGTCATGGTCGCTCCATCGGCGCTCGATTTGTTTTTATTTTTTATTTTTTGGAATAAACACGAAAAAGATGGATTAATTGCACATGACAAACCATTTGCATCAACTGGTTCCTTGAGACTTTCATCATTGAATGAATGTATGAAAAAATATATCAGAGTTGGCTATTCTTCATGCCTTTGCGGTGGGATCTTTACGGACTGCAGTATTGGCCTGTTTGGAAAGATAAGCTTCATATAATTCTACAACAAGCCTGGGATCCTTCTCCACCAGTTCTTTGTATTCTTCTCGCTTGCTCAGCTTGTCCATGTTGTCCATGATCAATGCCAACGCTGCATCGAACAAGTTCTTTGTATTGTGCTGGTGAGCAAAAGCAAAGTTTACAAGTGAGTTCTCCTAGTTCAGCTTCGATATTATAAACTTCTCACATAAGGTCTTGAGATGTTTTACTTGGTACTTTTCAGCCAAAATAGAAGGTCAAAAGCCATGTTCAGATGTTCTCATCTAGGCATGCTTCGGCAGTGTACAAATAATTCACAAAGGCTCGAAGAGCATCATATGATACATCACTAATTTTAATTGTGCCGCTCAAGCTTTCTTCCATCTCATTTTCAAGCATTGCTCTGAATACTGGGGACCGACTCGCCAGAACAGCGCGATGGGCCGGTACGGGAACGGAATGTAGGTCGTTCTTGGCGGATTGGTCGTTGGAGGCGACCAAAACGACGTTGGAGAAACAAGGAGTGGAAGATTGAGGGTGGTGCGGAAAGGAGAGGTGAAGGGGATGATCGGGCAGGGCCCAGAATCTGAGAAAGTTGACTTTGGTCTTGAGGTCTTCGATCTCCCTCTTGAGCTCCTCCTCTGTCTCGCTAGCCTCCTCGTAGCACTCCCGGCAGGTTCCAGCGTCGCGAGCGCAATACTCCTCTTACGACATGCACTTCATCCTCGTCGACTCCGGAGATTCTTCTTCTTCCTCGTCCTCTTCATCCTCGTTTACGTCGCCGAATTCCATTGAGGGCGTCGATGATCGCCGCCTGTGGGGTGTTGCGGAACCCTCAACAAGTAAATATCATTGGGGTTGTGGGGCTTCTATTTTCGTTTTTAGAAAAAAGAACAAAATAAAATTATATATATACTGTATTTGGAGATATCACTCGGGTGTAGTGGTGAGTCTGAACTAGTGTTGCGCATGGTTGGCATTGTTTAGTAGCGAGAAGGAAAAAAGTTTGTAGAATGACAATTTTGCCCTCAATTTTAACATTCAATAAACAGAAAATTTGACTAAGGACTAAATTGGATAAATTTTACATAGTTGAGGACTAAATTATGTAAGAATAATAGTCGAGGACCAAATTGATAATTACGACATAGTCGCGGGACCATTTTGGTTATTAACTCGAGAAAAGGTTTTGTGGGAGATTGTAACCCAAAGACCACAACCAATCTAATTTTGATTTGTTTAGTCTAAAGGACAATTGCTTGGGCCCAACTCATCAATTTTGGCAAATTATTATATGGACCATGATTCACATAGTGTTGTATGGATCATAAAAGAAAGTATATTTTTAATGTATTAAAAATATATTATTTGTGTACTGAATGTATATTATATAAAATAATATACATTTAGTATTCAAATAATGTACTTTTCATGAATACAAAGTACATTTTTAATATATTAAAAATACATTTTTTGGTGTACTAACTATACATTATTTTGTAGTATATAAAATATGATTAATGCAACTTGTGTAGATCGTGGTCCACACAATACTGATTGATCAATTTTGTCTATAGACGTATTATAGTATCACTCATTCATCCAATTTGTAATTCGTAGCTTTAATTTATTAGAGTCAAATGAATACGTACACTTCCACGATACATATATATGACATTAATATATGTTTGTAATTCGATCGTAGCTTTAATTTATTAGAGTCAAATTACATTAATATAATTCCACAATACATGACCTTAATTATAAGCTATAATCTACTAATGTTTAAAAAAAAATAATATTACAGACATAAATGTCCAACTCAATTAACGAGGCTTGGTACCGGTGTGAGGTTGATCACTTGGCATAGTCACCGGTTGGAGGTTAAGTCAATTAAATACCCGAACAAAATGAGTTAAACTTTATTCAATACAACTATTAGATGGTCACTGTTATTACATATGAAAAACTCACAACTCATACAACAAATTAATTAAACAATATAATTACATTTGTTAATGATATATAAATAGTTTACAAGTTATCATGTTCAAACAACATATTGTGCTTGCCGCACTAAATACATACATGAATCATCTTGTACTCAATACAATTTGTAATCAACTTAACAACTAATACTATCACACCTTTAATCGTTTAAATATATATACGAAGAAGAAGAAGAAAAAAAACTCATACACTACTGGAAATCTCGCGTTCGGAAAACGCGATATATTGGTCGGAAACGTGGTTTCCGTCCAACATACCGACCAAAAGGAACGTTCGGAAAAACCTTTGTCGCAAATTCCGTCCAATTATGATTTTTGGTCGGAAATAGCGTCCAACGAACAAAAATTGGACGGAAATTCCGGAGAATAACCCACCATTCTTAAAACGTGGGAATTTCCGTCCAACTACGTGCATTGGTCAGAAATTCCGTCCAACTACGTGTGTTGGTCGAAAATTCCGACGCAACATTGGACGGAAAACTCGCATATTATATTTTGTTATTTTCCTTCCAACTGTTGGTAGGAAAATCCTAAATCATATGAAATTTTTTTATTATTTTTATATTACCATAAATTTATTTATACATGTTGTTAATAAATTATATGTCTTGAACAAATTAATGGACACACTAAATTTCAAATTGAAAATATATTTAAACATCAAAATTATGTACAACAAAATTTATGGTCATGTCTATAGTACTTCCAACAACGAACTATTACCATAAGCCAAAAAAAATCAAAAATATATACTACTTAATTATCCTCACTACACCCAAATAAGCCTTCAAATTCAGCACTGCTTCAATGGCTTTGATCAATGCAGCATCCACAGCTTTCTATTTCAATGACTTTGATCAGTGCATGGTGACTCAAGAACTGCATAGAGAAACCACATCGTTCATTGTTTCCACATTTTCTGTTCATGTCCCGACAACAAGCTGAGAACAAACAAACAAGGTAAAAGTTACTAATAAAGCTAGCTATTGAGAATACTTCAGTCCTACTGTCAGGTAAAAGCAAAAACATAAGAAAATTGGGAACATTAAAAAATAATGAAGTTTCAGGAGGAGAACACAGTAAAAAATATACCTGAATTTTGCACCATTCTTTGTGGTGGAAGGTAGCCTTGTCAGTCTTTTAGAAGAAACAGATTCTTTAATGTTGAGATTCAAGTGGTGCATCTCATTATCAGAAATGCCTGCAATAATTCATTTTCTCTTATATATGTGTAAGAAGATAGAGAGAAACCATTGCAGCTATGAAAACATAGCAGTTGATTTGAATGTCTGTTTTACCATTGCCATAACAAGTTATAGCTATTCACTTTAGATAAAGAGTCACTGGCATTATTGGCAAAAGAGCAATAGATCAGTTTATAAATTACTTTCAAACTACAAAAAGTGCAGGAACATACGATTGATGAGAATAGCAATGTTAAGGTAATTTTGATGCAAATAAAATTGATAAGAAAAGGATTAATAAAAAGAAACCCTCACCTTATCCCCTGGCCTTAGGAAAGCAAACAAAGCACAAGTGATAGCATGAGTACCTGAGAAGATAGGGCAATCACATTTATAATTAAAGATCACAGTAGTTGTCAAGCTTGATATATGTTGGTCTAATATATATAATCAAATCACTACTTTCATATCATTAATTTACTATCCTTTCACGTTGTAACATGATCCTCTTTCACAATTAGCAATGAATCAAAGATATTATAAAATGTCCAACTATCATATTTAGCAGAAACAGTATAATAGAATAAACAACAACTAACTTCATTTTAGATCATTCATTAGTATGCTTGTAGTATTGCCTTGCGGCAATTTCCGTTATAAACAATTTTCAATCTATAAATTACCTGTAAAGTAAAGACTGTGATAATTATAGACAAAGTAAGAGTGCTCTCCATGGTGTTGAAAGCAACATCCATCTTTATTCCAATGATCCATGCCACAATTACAGTTAAGGGAATCAGCAGATTGAACATTAGACGCAAAATTAATTTTTATTTATAAATTAAAACATTCTCTAATTCATGTTCATATTTTTTGTTTAAAATAAGATGAAACTCACAGAAATCCCCCAAGACCCTGATGCAGCCTGTCCAAAATACAAACAAAAGAATTCAGAAAATATCTAAATCCACAAACAAAAGATTTGATTACTTCATTTCGTTCAACTTCCAATACCTCATCACTGGCTTGTTCATTCACCTACATAGCAATTGCTCTTTAAGCTTCACCAACATCTTATCAAGAAGTTGCAACTTGCCAGAAGATTCAAATAGCTGCTTGTTATACAAATACAAGTGACAGAAAGATAAATTAAGTTGAATAGAAAAAAACATGGCAATCTTAAGGTTAATCATTGGTGTATTAACCTGTACGTCCAAACTTTAAGTGCCACAATATAAATTTATAATACATGGAGATGCAGAGACAAACTAATCAGCCAATCACAGGATTAATGAGCTCAAACATTGCAATAATGAGTACAATACATTACAACAACTTATTATAATTCATATGATATATATTTAGGAATTTAGGGCTTAATAAAATTAGGATTTAGGGATAAATGGAATTAAGAATTCAGGGATTAGGGTTAAGGATTTAGAGAAATAGAACTAACCTATATTAGAGACGGCGGCGACGTACGAAGTAGCTGCGGCGGTTAAGACCGATAAAAAAATTCATCGACGAAACAACCGGCGTGCACTTCTGCTGGCGGGAAGATGTTGCAGCGATCGATTTGAGGTGCGGCATGAGGAGCTGAGTGGGAACGGTGCGGCAACGGCGATGAGCGACGGGCGAGGGCAACGACGAAAGGCGAAGAGCGACGGCGGTTAGTGACGATGGAGAAGGTGGAGGGATTTTGAATTTTGATGGAGAGGGTTGCTCTGTTTGCTGCTGTGGAAAAGTAGAGGAGATGCCAAATATTTTAACTTCCCGCTCCTTAGGTTATTTTTTGTATCGAAATATTTTAATTTTAATTTTCAGTCCAACATTTTGTTGGACAGAAATTAAAATACCTAACATTTTCACACTTTACCTGTTAGTCCATTCAAATTTACCGACCAATATTATAGGTTGGATAGAATTTACTTCCAACAATCGATGTTGGACGGAATTTCAGTCCAACATTATTGCGTTGGACGGAAGTTCTGATCAATTTTTCGTCCAATCATCTTTAACGATGGAAAGTTGAGATTTTTAATAAATTACCGACCAACATTATATTGAACGGAAATGTTGGTCGGAAATGGCGAGAATTCCAGCAGTGATACATTGCATGCATGAGACTTTTTTTTAATGGAACCAAAGTCCTCCAGGTGGTCTGATTTTACGATGGGCAATGACATTGATAGCTTTGGAGGGTTAATTTGTGTTGTATATATGTGTTTAGACTTCATGGATGCACCTCCACGTGTATGTGGATGGGTGCATTATGCAATATATACCATGTTTAAAACAACAATAAACTTCCGAACACTATGAAACACAAACAACTACCAAATATTTTAAGCTCACTTGACCTACAAGATAGATTTTTTTATATGCTTTAATTTATTAACATGCATATGTAACTTCTACATATCATGCTATATATTCGAGATTCCCTTATAAATTAAAATTGATATATACTACTTAAAAATTATCGCACCGCAAGAAAAATCAAATTTATCAAAGAAAAATGTATAGATAAATTATTGAAATATGTAGATATTTAATTTACCAAAAGATTTTCACGAGTAAAATATTGAAGTTCATAAGCATTTAATATGTTAGTATTTTACTATTTTCTTGTAGTGTCGAAGAAATATCCCATCAACAAAAATATTAAGAAATTACATAACTTTTATGAAAAAAAATTGAGATGATATATGGTTGTCTTCTTTTCTTTCTCTGTTTTCTTGAATGAAATAGATATAAATATATAATAATGCATATATAAATGGTGTATTATATTATTTAATATAACGTAATTTATGACAATTATAATGTTATAGTTTTGTATTCATGTATTACTCAAAAATTGATTGACCCTTTAATTTAATTACAAGTAGTTAAGCATAATAATTAATAAAAATTAAACTTTTTTAAAGTAATATTAATTATATATTATTCCAACATTTTCCATTGCATCATGCAAATTAAATTTTATTGGCTTCTCCTTATAAACTTTTTAAACTAGCTACCTCATATCCGCATTAATCTACAAATTAAAATGGTACTTAATTGTTATAATCTTTTAGTATTTATATATATCCGGGTAAAAAGTTTGTTAGTTTTTGTTTGGGGTTTTAGAAGGAACCTTATCGGACATAGTGTAAGAAGCTTCCTTAATCACTATATAATTAAAAGACAATACATACACATATAATGGTTGTTTTTAACTAAGATCATGATCAATAATATAATATAAATATATAATGTCTCACATTGTATATATACACACACTAAACTAGCTTATAGCTTCTAAGTTCTAAGCCACTGCACTCATTATCCATACGTCCCCTGCCCTAATTAGGATTAATGGAAAACGTAAGGTCTGATCATCATCTCCGCCGTTTATGTAATTTGTTGATGACAAGGTTTTGTGAATGGAGGAACGTTAACGTCACCTTTGCCGACATGAAAGTTTACATCGTATCTTGCGTCATACAAACACGACAGCGAAGTCCCCCGCATTAATCTATGTCGTCGATTTTGCTGCCAACCGCCGTTTGTCCTGTTCTCTACATGGCTTGCATAGTGCACTCCGCCGGTGACTTGATTTATTGGGGTTACCGGCGATCAATGATGTACATCCGACAATTTTTGAGGTTCCTCAACTACCTCATCAGCTCCCGTCGTCCTTTACTCCCTCGCTAACTAATTAAAACTCTCCAAGGACGTTGAAGAAGCGTTTTTGTTTTCAAAATAATAATCTAATGGGAGACAAAATGATGAAATTCAAATTGATGTCTATCCTTTAGAAAAGGGAAAATGACGAGTTTGGTCCTTGAGTTATAAGTGATGACTCAGTACGTTCTTGTGTTATTACTCTATCTATATTTAGTTCATTGGTTATGAGCAGACTAAGCATGTGAAGATTGGCTATCACTTTGTCCGGGACTTTCAGATTAATTTTGTGTCTACAAAAGATCAGTTAGTTAGCTGATATTTTCACAAAGCCGCTACCAGCACCTCGTTTTGGAATTCTTAGGGACAAGTTCAACGTTGTTTTCCTTCCCACTTGTGCTTGAGGGGGTGTGTTAGAGATATTAAGCTTTGAGTGGTTCTAGTTGGTTATGCCTCAACTAGCTAGTTCCCTATTGTATAGGTGTAGATATCTTATACTTGTACTCATGTATTATCCTACTGTTAGTGCAATACAAATTATATGCTTCTCTCATCTGCAACACTCAAATGATCACAAGAAAATAAATTACTAATCAAAAAATCAATAAAGAGTTACTGAAATTTGTGATTATCAAGCTAAGTATGGATCAACTTAACTAATGGAGTTTACTAAGGATTTTGATTGAAAATTAATTATTAAATTTTGGTAGCAGATCATTTTTTTTTTTACATACATCAATAATTCAAATATTCATAAAATTATATATATATATATATACTAGTTTTACACGCGCATTGCGCGAATGAGTTAATGCCCAATGTTTATTTGAAAGTATATCAAGCAAGATTATATATGAAAAGTTCATACATAAGTAATTTAATGTTGAATTTGTTTATTTAAATATGTAACTCATAATATATGAATACAAGATAATATAGGAGATTCATTATAATTGTCACTAAATTTTTTTAATGAATGCACATACAAGATCAATGAATGAATCAACGGTACCAGTCCTTTAGGTGTTTTGCTCAGTGTTCATTTAGTTCAACCCAAAGATAATGTAACCCAAAGATTGAACGGTTGGTAAATATGATGTAATTGAACGGTTGGTTATTCAACAATTCAACAATTTATTCCAAACTACTAAAAATACAAACACTACAATTTACAATATTTTCACTTAGCGTTTTGGAGAATGATTTCCCCGAAACACCCCTGTATTTTTTTAAAAAAAAAATATTTACTATATAACCGTTTCGACTCCTTAAATAACAAGAGTCAATTTAGATGGCTCCCTGCTTACCCATCAACGGATGGGCAAGCTTAATTTCAAAATTGGAGCCTTGAGGCTCAAGGCTCCCATGCCACTTTTCCCACCAATGTGGGAAAAGTAGAAAAACTAAGGGGAGCCGAACATTGATTTGAATAAATTACATGAGAAAAATTAAAATCTGAACAATATGAACCATTCATTTGATTTAATAATTTGACGGACATTTTTTCTATCCATTATAGGTCTAACTTCCTAGTTTTACACGCGCATTGCGCGAATGGTTAATGCCTAATATTTATATTTAAATAAATATTTGAAAGTATATTAATGCAAGATTATATAGGAGAAGTTCATACATAGGTAATTGAATGTCGAATTTGTTTATTTAAATATGTAACTTAAAGTATATGAATGCAAGATAATATAGGAAATTCATTATAATTGTAAATTTATATTAGTTATAATATATTTAATGAATACACAATAAGTATTTTACATACAGTATAAATGAATAAATCAACAGGGCTATTTTGAAATTTTTTCATTTTCTAGGTTTGCCAAATTGATTGCAACATTGTTGTAGTCTCGGCATCTTTTCAACGCATCAAGTGTGTTATGATGTTCTATTGCCTTATATTGACAGTTTTAATAATGAATTTTAAGTGTAGTTACGTAAAATAATGATATAATTAACATTTACATATTATTATCAACATAAAAACATATCAGTCATTTAGGTGTTCTGCTCGGGGTTCATTTGGTTTAACCATTATTGTTGAAAGAGTTATTGTGAATAAAGAAATTCATACTTTAAGGAATAAGATAAGATAAAGTAGTAAAAAATTGAACATTTTAAATATAATGTAGTCCAAAGATATTACGAGGTAGTTTCCCCCTTCAATTTGTTAGGTTATATGATTGGTTTCAAAGAATTTTATTTTTATTTTTTTCATGGTATTAATAAAATACTTGGTAAATAAATATATAACATTACCAAAAAAAATAATTACAACCTTGATATTTAATTACAAGATAGTGTAACATGAAAGTAATGGACAATGTAATGAATATCAATTGATGAATTTGAATGTAAAGAATTTTATAAGTATTGGAGAAAATAAAGACAATATAACTAATGAAATTATTTCTCTTATTTAATTTATTGATAATGAATAATTTTTAAATAAATACATTGTAGACACATAATTTTAAATTAAAGCATTGCATATGTATCATTTTTTGTTGTAGATACTAATTTATTTAATTTAATAAGAGTAAAATAGAGTGAGAAACTTATTTATGCCAACTTTGATTGGAATGAGATTTGAACCTAAGACCTTTCTTATTGAAATCAATGAGTAAGTTAACAGAGAATATAATTTTTAACGGAAAAGTTAACGGTGTGTGGGTATTTAAGGAAAGAAAAGCATATAATTAAGTATAAATTTTGAAATCTCAAGGAAAAATTAAAATCTGAGCCATTCATTTGATTAAAAAATGTGACCGCCATTTTTTCTACCCATTATAGGCCTAACTCTCTTGGGCTCTTATTAGTATAGTAGATATATATATATATATATATATATAAATATATATATATATATATATATATATATATATATATAGGGTTAGTTCCTGTGACAACAGGTCTTTTCGTGCGATCATATATCATTAGTTATGCATAAATGCACTACACAGTGTTCGAAAATACATCATTATGTGTGGTGTATTTTTTTGTGTGGTGCATTTTTTTGACATTCATTCTGGTGTATTCTCG